ACGAATCAGCGAGTCGGGTCGCAGTCTCCCCCCAAACCTCTTCGGATAATGAACAATGTGTTGAGTTGGAAGAAGACCCAACCAGCTGGGTTCATTGTGGACTTGAAGATCATGGAACTCAGCAAGTTCAAGACTAAGCCCCAACTACATGAAGAAGAGCTCAACGAGTTCATGGAGAACTCGGCGAGTCCGGGACTAGATGTGCCATCTTGCATGATGCAAGACTCGACGAGTTCAATGATGAACTCGGCGAGTCAGTTGTAGAAGGTCCCGACTTTGTTTGAAGGAGAACTCGACGAGCTCTTGAAAGACTCAGCGAGTAGGGTTGAAGTTTTTAGCATTCTAAGGATTATGGAACTCGGTGAGTTGGTGGGTCAACTCGGCGAGCTGAGTCAACTAGATGTTAACTTTGACCCAGAGTTGACTTTGACCAAGGTGTTGACTTTGACCAAGGTGTTGACCTTGACTTTGACTTTGACCTGAGTTGACCCTCGAAAGGGGTTAAGAGTATGAAATTGTAACTAAGGAAGATTATTATGTGTAGGAATTGAGAGGAGTTGATCCCAGCAAAGAGGACAGTTCAAACACTTCACGACACTGAGGCGAGTTACCTTCCAGTAGAAGTGGATCTAAGGTACCAAGGTCAGCCCACTAGTAAGAGTTATAGTAGAGATAACTATATTCGTGATAATTATCTGATATGTGCTATTTGTTATGATTATGTACTAGTATGATAGGATGTTAGGTAGTAGGGGGAATAGTCCCCATGTTACGGTCTTAAGGGCCGCAGGGTAGGTCGGGCACCCCAGAGATGCTCAACAGTATGTTATGATATGTTATTATATGGTAGTAGTAGGGGTGAAATAGTCCCCGTAGCAGGTTGAGTTAAACTGGAGGGTAGGTCGGCACCCCAGAATGACCCGACAGGGTAGGTCGGCACCCCAGAATTGCTGGACAGGGTAGGTTGGCACCCCCATAATTGCCAGACAAGGTAGGTCGGGCACCCTAGAATTGACTGGGAGTATGCTTGTTATGTGGTATGTGGTATGATGGGGGAACTCACTAAGCTTCGTGCTTACAGTTTTTAGTTTTTTTTTTCAGGTACCTCTTCATCGAAGGGGGAGGAGATGGCACGGTAGCAACGCATCATACACACAGGATTTCCGCATTATGAGATTCTTGGGATTGTATTCTGACATTGTTACTATTTTTATGATATGGTTTTAAGACATGTGGTTATGGTTTTATGAAAGGATGTGACTCGATAATGTTTCCTTATAATTGTTCTTTGTAAATCGTTTTATCAAAATGAAATTTTTGATCTTGAAAATTGGGATGTTACAAATGTTTTTGAGGAATTGTTTGATGATGCTCTTGTGAAGGCATCTCCATATAACAGCGTCGTCGGAATGGGACAACATGAATCCGGTTGACAAGACTCGTATTGAATTGAAATAAACAGTGGACCAACTTAGATGGCTTTGGTGAATCTCTTAATCCTTTAAACCCAACATTTTAAGATGCATGGGCACAATTATTGATGTTGAGTAGACCTACTTGATGATCCATAACTGCTAAGATTGTGCTTTTTCCTACATCGCCTTTACCGGATAATGTCAAGATCTTGTGCTTTATTGTATCCATTATATCTACAATTACTACCAAATCTGAATCAATGCTTTTAGGAGCATTGGCATAAACTTCTTGATTAGGGAAACCAACACAAGCATCAAATTTTTCAGTATCTTCTGATTAAGTTCTTGGGCAATGCCCATTGATGTTGCGGTTGACTTCTTCAAGGTTGTCGTTTTCCACTTTCACTAATTTCCTCTGTTTTTCTTTTAGCAGAAGAAAGTGTGTTTACATTATAACATGTGGGCTTACTTTCTCTTTGCCCTTATTTGAATCAATTTACATGAGCCCAACACTCCAATCTCAGCTCAAGTCTAGTTTTTAAGCCCATTATTACAATGTCCTAAGAATACTACATCCAATACGTCATCTAACGAAGCAATCATCTCAAAGGGTTGATATGTACTCCGTTAGCGATACGACCTAAGAAGACGTCATCAGCTTCCAACAATTCTTCTTGGTTCAAAATTGAGTCTATATTTTGTCCATTCTTTGCTTCAAAATCAAAAGTGGTGGTGTTGAGGACGGAGGTGGTATCCAGTTGATTTGGCCAATTTCCTCAATAACAGTGAAACGATACATCTCTCTTGATTTGTTGTTTATCAAAATTGTTGTCTCTATGAGGCTCTGTGTTAGTACTATTATTACGTTCCACAACCCACCCTCAAATGTCATTTTATCTCCATTTTGTCCTATTCTTCTCTAACTCTACCTCATTTCTCCCCTCATATTTAGATATATGAATACTATTACCCCATATATATATATATATATATATATATATATATATATATATATATATATATATATATATATAAAGTAATACTATTCATTTCTCTAAATATGGATTTCTCTAAATGTGGGGATGAAGTTTCAGTTGTCATTTTGCTGGGGATGTGGCCTCTTTCCCAAAAAAAAAGTTCCAATGTTGGTTTAGTTCCTTTTTTATCTATTTATACATTTATAGCTTATTTTATCTATTAGATTTAATTTAAATATAATATTTAATATTAATAATATTTGATTCTATAATAAATTTTATTAATTAATCATAAATATAAAATTTATTTTTTATTATCGAATTCATATAAAAAATTAAATACGTATTAAAATCATGAAACAGTGTATTATAAATATAATCTTATTTATTTAAAATTAATTGTAATAAAAAAAATATATAGATTATATATTTATTAAAACCAAAGTAGTAGAATGTATGTTTGACGATCTATGTAAGTTGGAAGAATAGAATATATTAGGAATATACTTTTTGAAATAAAAAATAGAATAAGATTGAAGATGAAACACTATTTACCTTAATTTTTTACTCCAATTTTTTAGGAAAAAATAAAAATGAGTTTGAGATGGTCTAAACCTTGTTCTAGATTTTGTACTCTTCAGCTGAGATTTCCACAAGCCATACTCAGATACTTTGATACTAATTTTTATGAACCAACTTAACAAAAGGAATTCAACGCAAGAACCGATGATTTTAAAAATAAAAAAAATAAAAAAATAAAAATAAAAAAAAAAAAAAAATCTTTCTATTGATTCAAAACACTCAAAGTATGTGGACAAAATGGTTACTAGATTTTCAAGAGTCCATCTCTCTCCAAAATGGTTTCCACATCCGTAAAAGATGTTTGTACTTTGTACTTTATTTCTCCGCCCCAATTAAAGACTAATGTACTAGCAGAAACAAAAGACAAAATTCCTAATTTACCCTCCACTACGAAAAGAATCACCAGCTTATTTTAGCTCAACTTAATTAAGGGAAATCTATATAAAAGTCCCAAATTTTTTGTAAAAGTTTCAAAAAAGTTCTAAAAAAAATTTGAATAGAAAAATGTCATTATTTTGACAAAATCATATGATCTTTCATTTGCTATTCAAATATAAAGAAAAACTTTTTCGTTAATTTGGACAAAATGTTAAACAATTGGAACTTTTCTTTTCAAAAAAAAACTTTTAAAATTTTATTGAAATTTTTTCTAAAAATTTAGGATTTTCTATAGATCCCTTTAATTAACTGTCTTTTCTATTTCTACCTCTTCTCAGTTATGTGAAGCCTATTGTATGTGTAGCCTGATCCTTTTCAAAAGATATATGTAATGACATCAATGTAAAACGTAGTTACAAAAGTGAAGACACAAGTGAATGAGATTTTAGATTTCCTTGACATATATGACCTTATGGCTTAGACCCATGCATTGGATTGGTATTGAACTCTTTCAGATCTTGTCAACAACCAATAATATGGATTGTTAGGTGTTTCTGAAGAATGGACAGATAGATAAATTAAATTAAATTTCTATCTTCTAGGTATAGAGTTGGATGCCCATGCATGCACCAGTTAAGTGGAATGAATCATGAACATTTTTCAGATTGATTCTTAAGATGATCAAATTTGTATATTTGTAGGTAATTTAATAAAAACGAAGGGTGGAATTCAGTTCAACGTTGAAACTAGTTTATTGACTAAAGATATCAAGATTAGTAAATGAATAATCAAAGATTTGAATTAGCATAAATGCTAGAAAATGAATACACATGATGCATTTTTACTTTTGCATAAAAATAGACTATATAACAAAGTACATTTATATGAAACAAACATTCCTCTGCAACCTAACTACACAAACCAACCAAAAAAAAACTGTAAACGCTAGAGAAGGGTGGGAAAAAAGGAACTGGCAGTACAACCAACTAATGTGGGTTACCGATGTATTATATATGACAAAAGGTCAAAGGTTTGACCTCCGTTAGTTTCTATTTAAGAAGATATTCTAATTTTACAATCCATTTGGAAAAGAGAATAGAGTAGTAGTAGTAGTAGTAGTAGTATACCTTTTTCAACACTAGTAGTAGTAGTAGTAGTAGTTTTTACATACAGCTTGACCAATTAAAGAATGACACCCACTAAGCAACACAAAATATAACCAGGCAGCAGGTGAGGGTGAGGTGAATATTATCTCACAAATCTGCATAAAAGAAACCATATGAAATGATATCATCATCAGAAACAGAAAGCAAGAGTTGGTTTTGGTATTATGTAAATAATACCTTGGAGGGAGGGGAGGGGAGTAAAGTGCAAATATCAAGATGTGAAAGCAAAAATTCTATCAGCAATCTTGGCACGGCAAATTGGACACTCGGAACACGCAACTGAACAAGATTTACACACTGCAAAAAATAAAAATATATACAAAAAGATTAGATTTAACTTTATAGATGAGAGGGTAGCTAAGGTAATGTTGGATGAACAGCAAGTGAGCTTACAGCTAAAATGGCGGCAAGGAAGAAGCATAGTTGTAGTTGGTGATTCGAAGCATACTTTACATACATGAGAATTCGCATCACCATTTCCGTTATTGTAATTTAGCTCTTTCTCCTTCATCTCTTGCATTCGAGCCTGATCCACATTCATTATATTATTAGACAGACAAATCTCCAACCCAAATACCAAACCTACTCAGTTTTATTTGGTGTTCAACTTTGGATGGTTTTAGAATAATAATAGTAATATATTTGGTGTTAAAAATAATACCTTCAAACGAGCAACAAGGGGCTCTTCCTTTGGCACATCATTCACAACATCCAAAACTTGCCTTTCTTTAAGAACCTGATTATCGAAATCACCATTTTCCATTCTCACTTCATTCACATTTTCATTTCTCTCACTGTTAACAACATTATCTTCAGTAACAACTCCTCCTGCTTCTCGTTTCAACTGAGCAACAAGAACCCACATATTTGCTAGATCATTCTCCAATGCCCCTTCTTTCTTCTTCATCTCCTCAACTTTTTTCCTGTATTCATCTTCTATGATTTCCTTTTCAGCCAATGCAGCTTCAAGGCTCGCTTCCCTATGTTTCCTTACGTTTAGTTCCCTTCTCAGATCTTCTGGGTCAAGGTCAAAGTCATTGACCCGACCAGAACCAGATAACGACCGTCCGTTTCCGTTTCCGTTTCCGTTTCGACCGGGTTTTGTGGTGGTGTCGTTGTTATATTTTCGGTTATTACTACGAGCTGTGACTAATTCTTTTTCAAGTTTTGCATTTTGTAGCGAGAGTTTGGTGACTTCGCCAGCTAGATTTTTTAGTTCAACAGCTGCAGCAGATGCTAGTTCTTTTGCGTAAGATGCTTCTTCTGATAGCTTTTGGTTTTGTACTGATAATCCACTGTTTTCTTCTAGTATATGAACGTGCTCCAGTTTTAGTTTCTCGTTCTTTACCTCCTGTTCAAAGTATACAATGAAATAAAAACTATTATGAGTAAAACTGATTTTTCAACTTGGGTCCTTAAAAAGTTTTCTTTTGTAATATTTGTCCGTATTTGAGGTTTTTGCAACGTTTTTTGTTCCCTGTTACAACTAAAACAACTACGATTTGGGACCAAAACCGCATAACTACAAACATGAATACATTTTAGACCAAAAGTAGTCATTTTACTTTGGAAGAACTTCAAATAATGATCAAAACTGCAAAAGAGAAAACTTATTTGGAACAAAATTGCAATACTCAAATATAGTGGAGGACCAAAATGTAATTTACTAAATTTATTATTTCTTCTGACTTGGAATTAGAACCTGAAATTACCTGCATCTGAATTTTCTTTCTTAGCTCGTTGATGTATTCTTCAGATACATTCTGTCCAGTTGATGACTGGGATTTCTCATTATTGGCTACAGCCAGTTGTTGTTCCAGCAGTGTGATTCTCTCTTGCAGTTCTTTATTTTCTATACACTGTAACAAAATAAAGAGTACAAAAGAATGATTTAAGATAAATAGCTTATTGAAATAAAGAGCAGAAGTGGATATTTTAAGATAAATGTACTGTTGTAACTAATGAAATCCATATATACCTTGGTCTGCAATTGTTCCTGGAGGATGCGATTGTCTGCTGACTTTATCTGTTGATATAGAGAAACAAAAATTACAAGTGTATTATTGTAATGAAATTAATTAAAACAAAAAACCCATAACACCTTTTTTGCACCAAAATGATGTAATAATTGGTGCAAATAGTGATTTATCTCCATTTTTACATGAAAAATAAAATTCCAATTATATTCCTTTTTTCTAGCTTATATTAAATAGAAAAAAATTACATGTAGAAAAATGAAACATAAAAGTATTTTTGAAAATATATGATTAGTTAATATCAATATAGTATATAACGTAATATTACAAGTTCAGATATTAGATTTGAAATATAACAGTAAAATTTAAACTAACTAAAAATGTATAAACTCAAACTTGAAGGACTGTACAAAGGAATAGTACAACACCAAATTTGGGTTGGAGTAAAATGGTGTAAAAAAGCAAACTTTAAAAGCATATGTACCTCTAACTCAAAACCCTTTTCATCACATTGTGTCATCAATCTCATCATTGTCTAAACAAGAACACAGAAAGAAACATTTGTAAGTTGCAGATGGATAATAAAATTACAAGCTTTTAAAGACCAAAGAAAATATGAATGAATTTACATTTTCTATAATAATAAAAACTGAAAAATGAGACTACCTGCTGCATATCAGCCAATGATGTATTAGAAATTGAAGCTTCATTACTTTCAATAATCTGTTTCTCCAAGACCCTCATTTGCCTTCTCTTTTCTTCAATTTCACGTTCCAAATTTTCTATCTGTAGAAATACAAACACTTATCCTCAAATCATATGCCAAAATCTCAAGCAATTTATATTCATAATTTGTGAAACAAGGGAGTACTTGAGTTTTTGAGCTTTCGGGATCATTTGCAGACTGTTCCATTAAACGCTTCATTGTACTTGAACTGAATGCTATCTCTCCTGCAAGCATTTTAACTTGCTCCACTAAAAGATCCATTTGATCTATCGAGATTACACCCTATAAATAAACAAAATATTAAAGTCAAATATTAACCTCTTTAGAGTTTAGACACAAACATTTTATACATAAATTGATAATCTTAAAACATGTTGTTACCAGTTTTCCACCACCAACAAGGTCACCCATTTGAGTTGACTCAGTGATAGTGCTACCTGCAGCTGATAAGTTACTGGAATTTCTTCTGTGTTTGAGTTCATGAGACATTTCTGATGGAGTATCATTCAGATTATCACTTTGCAATAGCAGAGAACTATTCTGAAACATTTATTTATAAACAAAACAAAGCCATTGATCTCAAGTTCTATAGATATATAAAATAGTGAAAATGAAAAAGTCATGCAACTTACATCCTCCTCATTGGCAGAGAAACTCCTTTGATGAGTTAACCCAGGAATTGTGTTTTTTGAAGAAACAAGTATTAGTTTTGTGAGCCTTTGAATTCTACTCATTAAAGCTGCTTTAGCTTCTTCCTCTTCCTCCAAACGTGACTGCATCTTTACTTGTCCTTCTTCTAACTATTAAACATATATAAATCAATAAATCTGTTTATTTTTTTAATAAACCCAAACCATAAATATAAATAATAGTAAATAATAAAACATTACCTTTTGTTTTAAGGTCATTATCTCTTCGGGATTAACACCTACAAGCATCCCACGTCTTAACTGATCAAGCTCTTGTTTCAGAACTGATATTTCTCTTTGGTACTTCTTAATCAAAGACTTCTCATCAATAATCTAAAGAATTAATCGTTTTAGTATTTTTTCTAAAGAATTAATCGTTTTAGTATTTTTTTTTATAAAAGTTTCTGAAAGAGATATTAAATGTTAATTTATTTCATAACAGACCTTGTTCCGAGAAGCATAGATTTCAACACGCTTTGCCCTACTTGCAAATTTTAATGTATTGTGTGTCTCCTCCATGTTACTAGAAGCTGGAGTTATGGTGCAGATAAGCTGGTAAAATAAAATTTTAATAAATAAAAAAGCAAGTGATTTTATTACATAACCCATATATTTAATTAAATATTTGTTATTTATAGCAATATGAATTCTTTATACATACTGAAACATGTCCATGGCCACTCAATGAAGACTGTAGTAGGCGAGTAAGCTTGGAATCTCTATATGGAACATGAGAAGCCTTCCCCTCACTAAGCTTTCCAATTACCTGCAAAATCCAGTTGAAATAAATTTCCCAAACAAAAATAAATAAATAAATAAATAGGTCAACTACAGAAGCATAAATAAAAATACTTACAGTTCCAAGTGTTAGAAGACTTTTGTTTATGTAAGATCCTTCCTTTCTCCTCAATCCAGTTGTTTCAGTTTTTGAGCTTTCTGATCCCGCAAGATCAATTAGATTCTAGAACAAATTAGAGAAAACAACATGAAATCATGAATAGATAATACAACAGTAATAAAATTATGTAAAGGATAGTAAAGATCAATGATACATACAAGTTGGGAAAATATTACACCATCATATTCATCACCATGGGCACTGCTTTCAATCATCTGTAAATTCAAATACATGTTTCAAAGATAAATTTGTAAAAAGTGGTTATCACTTATCAATAGACTAATAGGCTAGATATTATATTATTAATACATACCAGAGTAAATATTGTGTGGCTACGGCTACTAAGCAGATTAAAATTATTAGAACCAACATGGCGATGTTCTGTATAATATAAAGAAAGTTAGTCAATAAAAGATGACATTTAATACAACAAAATATAATATAGACACATGGTAAAATTCAAATTTAAACAGTACCTTCACCAGCAGCAATAAAAGAAAGGGCATGCCCAGGGGATAAAACAACCTCTTCCTTTATACCCTCAACGTATGTACCCTATTAAGAAAATAAGTAGTATGATTAAGAATACACACAAATACATTTATATATAAAGCTATACTTAGGGACCAAGATGGAAAAAAAAAAGATTAAAAAAATCAACTTTTAGAACTAAATTGTATATAGTTTACTGTAGGAACCTGTGCATCTTCTCGAACACGAAGATTTTGTCCAGTTGGATCGAGCAAATCATTGATGACCTGGCACAATAGAATATGATAACAAGATAATATAGGTAAGCTTCAGTAGTGACATGATACTGGCTGTGAGAAGTGCATAATGAATGTGTTACTAACCTCATTGTAGATCTCAAGATATGATACACGCAACAAGAACTCCCTTCCTGGAGTCTGCAATGTGAATATAGAGAGTTTATTACTCATATGTGCTCCTGAAATGTCAATAATAAACCAAGTGTGGCACAACTCTGTACATATATCAAATACACATACACGTACTCACATACACAAGTATAAACACATACATAAAATGACACTGAAAGGACAGACTCACAGGCAAGAATAACCGTTACATGACTTGCATCACAATCATGAACCAAAGGGATGTTACATGAGTGTATGTAGTTGCAATGCGCTTCAAATCTTATTAATATGGTGTTGAGAAACACTTACATCCTGAATAATGCTGAAAACATCCTTTATAGCCAGTGGTATTATTCCAGGAGAATGGTGATCACCCTGCAAATATCATTGAATCAGAAATATCCCTTGAAACTGATAATATCACAGGAGTAGCAATAGCAATTTCTCTTACGTGCATTGTATGTGTCTTCCCACTACTTGTAACACCATAAGCAAAGACAGTGCCTGCATTAGCAGTCTTACATTAGCTCAGACAATTAGTGTTTCATCCAATCCCAGAATCCCTCATGAATCAGAAATAAAAACTAGCAGGGAATGAAGGCAATTGAATTAGTTAATTTGATCTACTTCTAACGCACCGTTTACTCCTTCCATAGCATTCTTCACAACAGGTCGAGCAGCTACTTCATACACTTCCTGAGTGACAGCAGAGGGTCCAAAAACTCTATCTGTCATGTCATCATAAACATAATCAACAGTATCAAATACGGATTCCAATATTCAGTTTTCATCATCATACATTCTCTTCTGATTCCTTGATTAATGGAGAAAGCCATATTGCGTACCAAATGCATAGGAGGTAACTGGATTGTACTCGTTTCGAACAAGCTTATCTCCGTCAGCGTACCAAGAAATCTCGTCTCCTCTCTGATACTCTCGTTCACTACAATATCAACAAATTAGATATTATCACCGACGTTTTCTCAAAACCCTAACTCACCTTAAATCGAGATTAGGTATAGATCTAAATTCAATTTTAGATCCATCAATAAATCAAATTACCTCAACGGCCGAAACCGAATCGTTACAGAAATGCTATCACCTCCTCCCGATCTCGGCATACTATCACCCGGCTCTCCAATAAGCTCATCAACAGACGGAAAACCGACCGGTGACCGACCTCCATAACCTCCTTTAGAATACATCGAATCCGACCTAGCCCCACCGGGAGTAATGGATCTGGAACCGTAACCGTTACCAGAAGCCCCGTAGAACGACGTAGTTGCGGAAGAGGAGCAGGAGCGAGGAATGAGCTGCTTATTAAAAGAAGACGTTGATGAAGCTGAAGAAAAAGGACTTGATGGCTTCCGGTGGTGGAAAGGTGAACTACTTCTTCCTCTTGATGAAGAAGTTGCCATTTACCGATCCAGCTCTCAAATTAAAGAACCAATTGGAATCCGCCAAATATCAAGTGAGATACAAGTATATGAAAGAGAGAGCTAGAGAGAGAGAGAGAGAGATAGAGTTGTCAGAACCTCACATGGTGATTAGTTAGTAAAGTGAATGACATTGTTCCAATATTTTTATGCTGTGTGAGTGAGAGAGAAGGTGTTCTAGAGAGAGAAAGTAACAATGTGAGTATCTATACGTATAGAGAGAGAAAGTGCGTGCGTGTGCGTGAGAGATAGTGAGTATATCTTCTTCGTTAAGACAAAGAAGAGAGTTGCAGAGAGTGAAGAGAGAGCAAGAGATCCCTAAAATGAATAGAGAGAGGTGGGGAGGAGAACGATGGAAGGATTTCTTTTTCCTTTTTTTATTGTTATTTTCAAATTTGAGTAAATTAAATTTATATAATAGTCTAGGCAAACTCTGCCAGATAGTGAGGAATTTTATTATTTTATTATTATTCTAAATCGTAATAAATTAATTTTTTTACCGATTTAGGTCATATATAGGTTCCTAGATTAGTTGTTAGCATTTATTTTGGATAATTAATTTCATACATTGTTTTTAACGTAATTTGTCTATTGATTTGCTTCCACATGATATTTAAAATTTATTGTACGGTTTTGTATTAGAAACAACTCAAGCAAAAAGCCCTAGCAAAATTACATGAAGTAGGCCATGTTTTGAAAACTGGACCGGACCGGCCGGTTCGACCGGTTCAACCGGGAACCGGTCCTGGATCCAGTTCATATAGGTCAAAAAACCGGTATTTGTTTGAACCGGTGAAAACCGGTAAAAACCGGTCCGGTTGAATTGGTAAAACCGATAAAAACCGGAAATTTTAAAAAATATTTATTTTTTTTCATTTTTTGTATTTTTTATATAATTATGACATCATCCGGTTTTTGAGATCGGTCCGACCAGTTGGACCACTTGAACCATCGAACCAGTAAGACGACCGGTTCGGTCTCCGGTCCGGTTTTCAAAACCTTGGAAGTAGGGGATGAGCTCCAAAGAGCTCAAAAGTAACATTTAGATCTACATTTAATCCAATTAAAGGTATTTATTATTATACGCCTCCCACATCATTCAATGAGTTATGTAAACTAACGACAACCGCAAATGCGGCATCCTTTTACTTCCGATATTTTTCTTAATTAAATATACTATGTATTCACAAGAAGAAGGCTGCCCATAAAGGCAGGAAGACCAATTGATCAACCAACTCCATAAAATATTGGCAAAAGAGGAATCGGAGAAGAAAACATAGTTTGTGCTATCTTCTGGATATCGACAGAAAGGGCAAGGAAACTTGGATCTCACACTTGAGCAAATTCATGGAGGTGGGGGATTTTGTTCTTGAGTATATGTCAAACAAAACAGTTGATCTTTAAAGGCACTCATTTGAAGGTACTCGAGCTATCCACATTGGAGTCATTATTCATCAAATCACGAAGAGAGTTAACAGAGAAATCAGTTATATCATCACCCTTCGAAAGCCACCTGTCATATTAATTTGTTAAAGTCATTTAAAAGATTAGTCAAAACTGAAAGTTGTTATAAATAAAAGTGTAAGGATTTATTTACTAACTTCACCACAGCTGTATTATTTTCTTACCACCATTAGCAAATTTTATTTTTAAAAAAATGGAAGGGTTGCCATGAGTACAATTTAGATTATGTATATCAACTAACAAATTATACATGTGACTAGTTGTTATATTTTATGAACTATAAATATATTTTTATATTGATAAATAAACTTTTAATAATAGGACATGGAGTATAGATATACGCGGGCCCACACATAAGGTTCAAATAAGATCTCTTTTTTTAAAGTTCCTCATAATATCATTTTAACAAGTTTCAAATATATTAATATTAACTATAAAAATTAAATCTTCTATATTCATGTTTATATCATCTTTTATATATATATATATATATATATATATATATATATATATATATATATATAAAAATAAGCTAGTTTTAACAAACATCATATTTATTAGCTAGTTTATCGGTTTAAAGCTAGCTTTTTTAGCTATTTGTCAAACATAGCAAAAAAAAAATTCCATCCAAAAAACCAAATTCAAATTTTAACTATTTATCAACAACATAACATGCAAGAAATATATAATATGTGAGAGTCTTAATTAATAAAAAATATATATATATCAAAATTTATGGTTTTAATATATATATATATATATATATATATATATATATATATATATATATTCAGGTTCATTTGAGACCGTGAGACAAAATATAAAAATAATTCTAAAATGTAAAATAAAAGGAAAATCCGAAAATTCTTTTTTTTAATTATTATTTTCATCACTTTAATTACCTAAAAAAACAATAAAAATAAATAAATAAGATTACCGTTTTTTTGAAAAATACGTGAAATATTCTAATAGAATATTACATTGTAAATATTCTAATAGATTTTTAGAATGTTAGAATATTCTACTAAATTTGTCAGATATGTAAAATATTCTAATATTCTACTAGAATATGTAAAATATATATATATATATATATATATATATATATATATATATATATATATATATATATTTAAAATTTTTTTTTTGGTTTTTTTTTGGAAAATATAAATGACGAAAATAATATTTGAAAAAAAAATCTAGAAAATTTTCAATTATTTTGCATTTTAAAAATGTTTTTTTATCTACAAAATAAGTAGCTAGTATTGCATCTCACGATCTCACAAAATTAAATCGTCTCACATGAACCTAACCTTATATATATAATATGTTTGTAAGAGCAAGTTTGTCATCTAACCTCAATTGTGCATGTGACCACCAACATGATTTTATATTACTGGTTAAATTTAAATCAGTCATTTTATATATTTTTTTAAATAACAACCGTATTTGGTTAAGAGGATAAATATTTTGTAATTTTTTATGTTTATAAGACCATAATATTATATCTAGTTTATTTTTTTTTTTTAAATTACAACTATAAAATTTCAAATTAATTTTGAAGTGTTTTAATTTGAATATTATAAAAACTATTTGGCTTCTTTTTTTATATTAAAACCTGGCAATGATCCATACTCCATGATGAACGCGCAATATTTCCAAATAAAGCAAGCAAAGTTTTCCCTTTTTGAGATACACATGTGACATGAAAAATGGTTCTTTTCAATACCATTTAATATTTGTTCAACTCAAAAATAAAGTTATAAAAATTCATTTGAAATTATATTATTATAACAATTTTCAAAAAGAAATATGTCCTTGTAAAAATACATATCAATCTAACTACATTTTTATCCTCTACAATAGGTGACACTAAATAAATGTTTGTATTACCTATAAAAGTATATATGTTTTATTTTCCAAAACAAGAGTAACAAAAACACCTGTATTGATTGTTTATTTACCATAGAAAGAATGAGATAAAATCCACTCAATTTAGATGGTATTTACATTTTAATGAAATATAACCAAGTTAAAAACACATTTTATAGAATTATAGCTATATTTTTTCATCTATCTTTTTTTTATATATATAATTTTCTTTCTTAAAATGGTCGATTATATTGAAAGAAGAGAGGAGTTAAAGAGGATGAGGTGGCAATTGGCATGTTGGAAGGTGTAAAATAATTGGGTTTTTTAAACGTGAAAATGACGCGCGTAGGCGTAATGGGTTTTATTTTTGAAAAGGTAACGTAAAATGAGCGGGAATAACAGTGGAAAGGGTGGGGAGGGTTTGGGTAACCAATCATATCTATATCTCACATTACCTTTATCAAAACAACGTCGGTGTTACGCTGTCATGATTGTATGAACTTTGATCATAATTGAAGTTATATTTATTTATTATTTACCACAAAGGTTATACTTATTTGTTTAATACTTGAAGATCCTATACTAAAAAAATTAGCTTTTTTAATATTATTAAAACGTTAGTAATGCTTGTTGTGATGCTGACATGTATGGATTTTATAACCTTGACTTTATTATATATAGGTTTTGATGGCATGGGTTTTTTATTTTATATAAGTACATTAAATATAAAAACAATATTTATGAAACCTAATCTAACCAACATCTTTTTTATTATACTCGTTACAACGGTTATAACGTAGATCAAAGTTTGAGATCACGTGAATAAAAATTGTTTATGGGTTTTTAAGTACTAGATCTCGTGTTTTGATGGGGACTTTGGTGTTTCTCATCTCGTAGGAAATTTTATCTTGAATGTATCTAATGATGAGCATTAGAACCTGTGAAATCGGAACCGGATTTAATAAAATGGTTCGTTAGCGGTTCCTTACTTATAGCAAATTGGAATTGATTTCAAAACCGAATCGGTTCCACAGAAAACCAGAACCTATTTTTAAAATTATATAACCACTTGAGTTGTGGTGACTTGGTGAGGCATGTGGAAAATATGATGGATAACCTATTGACCCATGTTCAAATCCTGGCACCACTCAGTCCTTGTGGCCATGAAGGTTCGCCTGCAGTGACTCCAGGGCATGAGGCAAAGCTTTATGTTTGCAGCGGGGGATTAGTCGGTGCGCGAAAGCTGATCCGGAAACCCTCGTTAGGGAAGTTCCCTTTCCATATATATATATATATATATATATATATATATATATATATATATATATATATATATATATATATATATATATATATATATATATATATAAAACTCACTCATGTGAAATTGGAATTGCTTATTTTTTTTCATAATGTAATTTAGTGTTTTTACTTTATTTTAAATTATTAAAAAAAAAAAAAACATATTTTTGTTAAATGTTGAATCATATACAAGCTTCAAAGACAACATATCAATGTTTTGCATTTTTCTATGTTCAACATGTTTTATTATTTTGTCTCGATTTTTAAAATATCGTAACTCGCTAATATGATGTGGTAGTTGATTTTTTTTTCAACATGTAATTTAGTGTTTGTACTTCATTTTAGAATGTAACAAATTTATTTTGGTTAAATTTTGAATCATATACAAATCCCAGAAGACAACATATCAATGTTGTGTTTTTTCTGTTTCAACACGTTTTTTTATTTTGTCCTAATATATTCAGGAGAGCTTATGAAATCATTGCACGTTAGACTAATGTCTCTAACCAA